ACCTATAGAACCGATTTTGATAAAATTTGGTGTGACGATTCTACATAACATGAAGTTTTCTTGGGCCAAGTATGAAGGTCCTATACCCAATTTAAAGACCCCAAAAAAATTCTGTAAAAAGTAATGTTTTGTAAATGTAACCTCATTTTTGTCGAATTTTTCGATTTTTAATATAATAATCAAGATTCATTCGATTTGTAACTAGCCATATTTTGTAAAAAATTTAATTACAAACATTTTGTTCTTCTTCCATATTCGCCTAAAATCAACTCTTGAAAAGATACATAATTAAATAGGAAGAAAAATATGACATTTCTCGATTTTTTTAACATCGCCAAAAGTTAAGCCACGTTTGTTTTTATGCGCATAGAAAATTTTTTATTTATAGTGATATTTGAAAGCCAAAAAGCCAAAAATCTACGTGGATATACGATTCACCCAAATATGGACTTTTTGAAACAGATACCGTCTGGACTATATTGCATTCGTGTCTTATTGGCATAACCGACACTCAAGAAAGGCTCAAACACTGTTGGAAAAAAAAAGAGTAAATAAATTTGGCTACACTATTTGGCTTATCGTCAAAATATGAAAAAAATTCCGTAAGGTCCAAGACACACGGTGTCAATTGTTTTGAAAAATATATCTTTGTAAATCTCTCTAAGGATTTTTGACACAGATTAATAACAATTGCCCTGGTGGTTTTATATTTGCATACAATTTCTTGCACTATTACGTAATACAAATTATTTATAATTTAGTTTATAACATACTTTTCGGTTGTGAAAACTATATTATAGCAATCGTATCATATATCGATATCCTTTGCATACGATACGATTGTTTTTGTACTACTTGTAGCATAAATAACTACTAACAAGGTATACAGAGCTTAGGCAATCCAACAATGCACGAACAGTAACGAAATCTTGACGTCACCAATATTAATGGCCCGTTTACAATTAATAATGACAAACCGATACATCTAGAATAACTGTTTTAACGTTATCTTTATCTTATTTTTAATTTAACCGAAATTTAATATCCAACGTGAAGGAAATAAAATAACTGTTCCAAGCAAGATTCCTGGTCACGTGGCTTTGCAATCAGTTGTGAAGGATCTATATATATCTACTTGATTAATTCAGACTTTTCTTGCTTATCGATATCAGTATCGACGTAAAAGAATGCACGATTTAATCAGTTCCATTCTAAATGACGAAAGAAATAGCAGAGTAAATAATTTCTGTATTATTCTCGTTCCCGTATTTCTGGTTGCCGTGGCAAATTATTTTTAGGGGAGGGTTACGAATACCGCCGAAAAGATAAAGCTGTCAGTCTGAAGCATTAGTGAGGCATTACACGCTGATATGTTGCCTCTCCTCGTGAAAGTACTAGTAAACAAAAAGGAAGGTGGTTTCAGCAAATCTTGAATAATATACGTCCTATTTAAAGAATCGTATTCAATTCCAATGAATACCCATGGAAATATTTGTTCTTACTTGAATCATCGATTCTACTTTGATAATATTTTATTATTTAAGCAGATTATGCGTAAAAAAGGATTTAAAGCATATGGGTAAATAAATAAGAGGATTTGATTGAATAGGACAGACATGCATTCGCTGAAACCATGTTGTGTTGGTGTGGCAAAACATTGTCCTTTATAGAAATTGTTAAACTGTATTTCCACTCTTTCAATCAATAGAAATAGGAAGTTTGAGGTTATAGTTTTTAGTTTATGTTCAGGTGGGTTGCTGAATTTTGTGCATTGACAAATTTCTTTCGTTTTCGATTAATGTAATAAGGGATTTACTGAATCAATCATCTGAATTGCCTTACTGTTTTTTTAATCGTTTCTTATCCAAAATGAGTTTACCTGGTAGAATTAAAAGCCAATGTTGTGCTCCAAATTGTAAAAGCACTTACTATAAGAATGTCTGTAATGCGTCCTATAAAAATAAAAGTTTTTTCAGAATTACAATAGACACACAGTTACTAAGGATTAAATTAGTTCGAAAATTATGTAAACCAGACTATACTCTGACGAACACGGATCATTATCTTTATGTTTCAAAATACTAATAAGAACACTCTCAACAGAAGGGCTGTGTCGGCATTTTAAAATCGACTACTGCAAGTTCCTATTTTAATTAAATAATAATACAAACTGTCAATCACTAACAACGGTATCATGACATTATTGTCTGTCACTGTCACGACCTACCATATAACATTGTCCATGAGTAATCAGCTACCAGATAATTTCTGTGTCAACAGATAATTGGGCCAAAGTTTTTGAAAAACATCACAAATACTCAAATACTCGAAAGATGTTTGAAGTACACTAATAAAACTTGGATACATTCTTTTGCTAATGAGAGTTCGAAAAAATCTTCTTTTGGCAATAAATTTTAAGCAAGAAAGACAATAAAAAAAACTAGCATATCTGAACTAAAAAAGGCACTATCAATTTTTGTGTTTTAAGTTTAAGGTAAATACAAATTTTAAGAATATCCGTAACATAAACCTGAAATCAATATACACCTGTAATATTTATTTTTAGACATTCCAAGCCATTTTCCTTATGCAATTCAATATTTTCCTCGTGGGCATAGTCCAGTCAGATATACGTATACGCATATCAGAGGTTTTATCTTCCTTATAAATAAGACAACATCAATTCTCTTTAGGCTACAGTTTCTCTCACTTTTTGTTGGATATCAATTTATTTCGATATTCTGCAGTATGTATATAAATTGCACGTAAAGAAGCTTTAATATGAGCATGTAATTCGAGAAAAAAAGGGATAATAAAAAGCAAGGATAACATTGTCAAAACAAGGTTTAGCAAACTTGTGACGGATTGCAAATCAACGTAGTTATCATGAATACAATCTCTCACTAGTCTGTACGATATTTGTTGCCTGCGGAATATTTAAACCATTCTACAATAGGGTATATGTCAACTTTGTCGAAAATTACAAAATACCTACCACTTACACTCAGAACCACTAAAAACCAAAACTCTACAGCCACCCCAACTGCATACGTACCCTTAACGACATATCAATAACACTATTAAAATTGTTATAAATGTTCCTATTTTCGCCTTTGAAAACCATGTACTGATTTGTCGCCCCAAACACAAATTCACCCTCTACCTTGGAAATCTTAGGTTTTCAAATACATACAGAGCCTTATAAAAATAGCCAAAATATAAAGATTCGACATATTCCTCCATATTGCCATTAACGTAATCGTGGATTCAACCTACACAACTATCCAAAATCACTCCGACCCTACCACCCCTGCGCTCAGAGGTCGCGCCTGAACATTTCTCATACTTTGAAAATTTATACTCCCTCAAACTTGGAAAAACGTTTACTCTATAGGGAAAAAACCAAAACCGCGGACCATCTTATTTGGCAGTAGTAACAAATTTTTTACTCTTGATTTCGAAAAAATTTAAGGCGTTTTAAGGTAGAAATTTTAGGTTTAATTGTTTGTTCTGTTTTTATACAAGCTTCATTTCAATATCCGTTCAGTAAATTTTTTGAGTATACTTAAGTACTTATACACGTGGGGAATAGCTCTATAAATTTTTTCGGATAAAATGGAGCATCCTCTACTTTAATCTTATTGCCGTAAGTAATATAATGGCGGTTTTCCACTAAATGGACAGTTGAGTTTATGTCCTGTTTGTGTTTTCTAGAACAAAACAAAAACAAAACTGAAACAAACCCAAAACTCTAGTTTCCATCAAGCGGGCTACGTTTTGTTCGAGTTTTGTTTTTGTTTTCAGTCATTTTCCACTGGTTGTCGCGAGGAAGTCAGAACACATTTTTCCAATAACCAACATGTTTAGAGAAAATTTGTTTATTCTTAGTTATGGCTGGTTTATACTGAAGTCCTTGGAAGAAGTGTGTCTACAGAGTGTCCCACCTCGAACTCCATCGATGGATATCTGGGAAATCGCTCTAAGGATTTTTTTGAAATTGTGATAGTGTGATACGGACCGTGTTAAAATATTTTCAAGTTCATCGTACTTCCGGTTACACCGGAAGTCGATACTAACTTTCTTATTTTAAATGGAACCCCCTGTATATTATTGCATTTTTGGAAATCATTCATTTTTAAGTTGAAAACATATAGCACACTCCATACTTAGGCTTGACCGTTTCCGAGATATTTCGATTTTTAAACAAAAATTGACAGATGCAGACTGTCAGCAAAATTTAGTTTTCCCGGTTTATTTTTTTGTGCAAATTGGACATTTTGTACAGAAAGACCTACTTTATCGAATTTGACATGAAAATTTTCCAATTTTTGTACAGGGTGGTCAAAAAAAATGTATCGAATGAAGTTCAGAATATGTGGAAAACTCGAAATTTTTAAATGGAAACCCCTATTTTTTTTTCAATAATATACCGGGGGTTCCATTTAAAATAAGAAAGATTGTATCAACTTCCGGTATAACCGGAAATACGATGACCTTGAAAATATTTTAGATTGGTAGGCTCCACAGTCCGTATCACGTCATCACAATTTCAAAAAAATCCTTCGAGCGGTTTCCTAAATATCAATCGATGGAGTTCGTGGTATATGTACGGTTAATTTGTTTACTTGGTTAGTTTGTATCCTAGCCAAGTAAACACTTTAACCGTACACATATATATTTTTAAATAGCTATAATTCATTAATGATTAAAATATTGTTTTTGGGAAGAAGAAAACGCCAACATAAAAATTGGGTTGGATCACTTAAATAGAAAACACAACACGACCGTTTCCACTAAACAGACTGGAGATTCAAAACACGTCGAAACCTTTTGATGTGACCGCTTTCGAGCGGGACCCGAAAAACAAAACTCCAACTGTCGCAAAACACGCCAGTCTTCAAAAAGTTTGCGAAAAGTTACAGTTTTGTTTTATTCGACACAAGTTTGTGCTTTGTTTTTGTTTTGTCCGTTTAGTGGAAATCCGCCTAAAAGCTACTCACCTGTGCAGACAGTCGGCATTCAATTACCCTGCAATTGAAGTCCGCAGTTGCGGCCTTGTTGAGATTTGTTAAGCTGTGGGCGATTACGAAAACGGCTCCCGGGGGCAAAACGATGTCCGTCGATCTCAGTGGATTAAATTCGATGAGCTTAGCGCAACCTAGAAACACCAAACAGCAATATCAAAAGGAGAAACATTCGTAGCAGCTGATAATATAGAGACAGAAAATTTGCGGATGTTTTTATTAAGTTGCCCCTAGGGGCACGAGCACCCTTATCATCTTTTTTTTTACATAAAACACACCACAGAAATGAGACAACCCCCAAATTCAAAGCCAAAGGCTGTGCGGAAGGGGGCTACACTTGAAAAAAACGCGGACAAACATCCATTATCCATCGACATTGCCAGTGTCGACACCGGAGATCGAACCCGGACCAGAATAGGAAGCCTGGCCGAGAAATGCTTGCCACCGCACTCTCGACCGACTGCGCTACCGTGGCGATTTCATTTATTATATTTTGTTATTAGTATCAACCTGAAGGGAACAAACAATGTCTCTCATCATTAGAGCGGCGAGGTATATGTCAATCAGTTTACCAAGTCTTTGATGTTCGAAGTGCCTATATGAAAGTGGCGCAGTTCGAAACTTCACGGAAAAGTTGCAACCTTGAATGACGGTAAATTGCCGCGTGTATACTAATTGTAAGACACAGTGAAATCACTTTGGCAGCTGTTTACCAGGTCCATATTTCTAATGTGTGCCCGTCAATCTATTAAGTCTATTAATTCTATTAAGTCCATTTGCCTATAATCTAGTTAGAACTCGTTTGTCAGCGGTCTGCGTATGCGCATCTTATATATATCTCTATGACTAATTTGGACTCCATTGTAGTTAAAATTTCACTCACATCGCAGTTAATAATGTATTCTATTTTTATACTATTTCTGTCCAAGCAGTATCGAGTGGAATTTCACCGTTACTATGAGCAATTTTATGAATTACGATTAAGGCAGAATTGACGAACTTCACTCAAATCTAAGTATCTGTTTCTTCTCAATGAGCAACTTTTTATTTTACTATGAGCATATAAAAACAATAATGAGTTGTTTTCTCTAATATGATCCAAATTTTACTATGTATTATTGAGTTAATTTTTACCCAGACTTGATTATGGTGAAATTAATTATGAAATTATTTGAGTAGAATTTTACCCATCTGTAGTATATCTCAACAAATTTCTTTATACAATTTTCTTGAAGTAGAAACTTAATTAGGAAAAGGACATTAATAATCAAAATAGAGACACGAACTCCAAAAAAATATTGAGAATTTGGCAATATTTACTCAAATTTATATAGAAATGTGCTAAATAAGAATTTTTTTACCAGCTTTAGTTCAAATACTGCCATAAACGAGCAAAATTATTATAAAAATGCTCAATATTACGTAAAAATATACTTAAGGGATTACACAACCTTGAGATTTTTAAAAAATCAATTTTTTGGCTAGATTTATTGTTTACATTTTTAAGAATACCTATTTTAAGCATTTAACCATATGAAAATTCAAATTATTTTCGGAGTCATAGCACTTTGAAATGAGCGCAGCAGGATACCCCCTTCCAAGGTAGTAAGCAAATAGCTACGAGCGGAGAAAACCTTGACAAAGGGTTTTATACACTTTCATAAAACATATTCTGTTTATCTGCTTCCATTATAGTAAATAGACTATTAATACCTAAATTATTTTTAAAGAGGTAAGTGGATTTTACCGTAAAAGTGGAAATTACTATGAACAACGGGAGGTAAGTGAGGTAACTAATGAACCAATAAAGAGAAATATTTGATGAACATTACATTTTATTCATTATTATGAACGAATATTTATAGCAATTGTACAGTTATTATATTTAATAACATTTATAAAATCTGGATAATTATTCCCCTCGCGTTTACTAATTGTCACATTTTTCTCAAAATTATTTGACCGCTCCATTTCAGTCACCGAGGAGGCTCAATATTATCTGACTGATCCATTAAAACCCCATGATGCGACGTACTACTAGAACATGGAGTTGAAGTGTCATTGTAAAGAATCGTGTTGGCTATTTCATTTTTGTTACTTAAACTGTCAGCAACATAACTTTCTGCAATTGTGGCTGATTTCCACCTACCATATCTTTTGATTGCTAGTACATCAACTCCTGTATTAGCCAGTAACGTTGCCGATGTTCTTCGGAATGAAGGGCCTGTATATGTTTCGGAATGTTCTAGTTTCAAAAACTGTGCAATCCTATTAGTAATCATAGAAAGGCCGACAGGTTGGTTGTAACATCTACCTGCTTGATAGCGCCTAAAAAAGCATTCTACATGAACGTTCAGATTATCTTCCAACATTGCTATATTCAGAAAAAAAAGGATCAAAGAATTTCTTGTTCTTAGTCGAGGTCTTACATATCTATTTCTGATTTATATTTTTATATTGTTTTTTACTTTGGAATTATATTTGTATTAGGGTGGTTATACTGAACAGCTCTGTTGGATTTCGCCACTCATTTTGATACCTATATTTGTTATATTCACTTTTTTTGATATGCAATAAAGACCATATTATTATTATTGCTATTATTATATACCATCTCCTGTACCATCTCTAACTACTCCCACGTTATAATGTGTAGAATCCAAGTTTCATTTCAAATTAGGATTTCCATTTTTGCTTTTTATACGAATTTCATTCATGCATCAAAAAAATATTGAAGGCCTCAGTTTTCCGATAAAATTAGATTTTAAATATTTACTAGTTTTATTATCTGACGACTGCAAGCCCACTGAGATGCATCGTGAACCATCTGGAAATGACCATCCAAAAACTCCTTCAATTAACATATATTTACGCTGACATGAATAAAATATTAACCTAACACCCACATATCACAAAAGCTATATTGTGAATCGCGAATGCCGAGAAACTAATAAATCATGAACTCTGTAGAAACCTCAAATAAAATGCAAATGATGTAAGTTAAACAAGTAAATTCTTAATTATGTTACACTTTTTTAATGTTAATAAATCCAATTTCTACGTATTAATCAAATAATTTGACAGTGTTCATTTACAGATATCAGTATTATGCCTGTATTTAATTGGCACAGTTATTAAGTTGACTGGCTGTTATTTCAAACTACATGCAAAATATGTTTATAAAATAAAACATTTGTAGTATAACAACCCTAGGTTCGACAAAAAATAAGTAAATGTAGTTGTGGCCAGAAATATGTGATCGTCATAAGGACTACCTACGCTGTGTGTATCCATTTTTAATTGACCGGAAGGCGCTGGCTACTAACTTTGTAGAGGGGATGTATGGTTTAATTATATAAAACAAAAGCAGAGTAAATACACCTAACCTTTATTTACATACAATTCAAATTAAACATGTGACAAATAGAAAGAACAACAAAAACATTAACAACCATTTAACATAAAATGAGAGTGCCAGGCTCACCTAGAGCTCCTGTGGGGAAAGAGCATGGCAGAGAAACCCACGATCGTTGCTCTTACCACCCAAATATAAATACAAAACAACCGCTAACCAAAGGCATAAATTAAGAACCTTTGCTAATGATAAATAAGACCTGTCTCATTTAATGTGTCACTAAATGTCATCTGTTACCTCATATTAGTCATACACACTTCCAAGTAAAACTGAAGAGGTTTGGTGTTAGTTAGCCGGCAGAGCCGGAAGGTACTGGAGTCCCATACGGGAGGCAATCCAGCTATAGTTGAGATTTCGGAAGATCCTTCATAACACTGGAGTCCCATACGGGAGGCAATCGAGCTTAATCCAGATTCGTTCCGCACGGGCGAAAATGTAAGTAAACTCAACAAGGCTCGTATAGACGTATGACATAAAGTGAGCACAAGAAATCAAAGAACAAATGATAAAACAAGTTAAGTGTGAAACAAAGAGGTCGTTAATGTAATATCTGGGCAGTCACGACAATATACATATTTTAACATGTAATAAGTAATGAGCAATCTATAATAATAATTGTAACAATTTTATCTTAGAGAAATATACGCCCCTGAGCGTAAGACAATGAAGGCTAAACATATACAGAATTACTATTATGAAACATCTATATTTTACGTATAACGTAATCATGACAAAAACAAGTTAGATGTGAAACAAAGGAGTTATTATTGTAATGTCTGGGCGCCCACACAACATATATATACATATATATATTTTAACATGAAATAAATAATGAGCAATCGTTAATAATAACTATAACAATTTTACCTTAGAAAAATATATGCCCTAGAGCATAAAGCAATGGAAGCTAAACATACAAAGAATTATTATCATGAGACATCTATAACCATCACAATCACAAAATTACATAGAACAATTAACAACAAAGTACTTAAAGAATATTACCTGCTAACAAATACCGGTTAAACACTTAATTTTCCACTTCTATATTTTTCACACTACACTGATCGTCTTGCTTTTCACTCCGCGCTGTTCTCACTTCAACTGCCTATCTTCAACTATTTAGGCTTCCTTCCAGAATTTCCTACCTAAGTGCTTGTTTTTTGTGCATCCTTCTATCGACCGTTAATATTACTTTTTCATTGTTATACAACACCCATGTAGCAGGTGACGTGGAAGTTGATAAGATAAGTACGGTTTTGCACACATTCGAAAAAGCAATTGTTTTTATTCAAAAAATGCATTAATTTGGTACATAGACAAAATAGACTGAACTGTAGAGGCAAGCCGGTGAAGCCAACCTTTAGCCCAACCTCAGCCCAGCCAGCCTCGCGCTCTCAGTCGCTGTTAGACATTCGATGAGTTAACATTGTTAGTATTTTATTAAATATATTGTTTTTATTTGTGCAATCATGGGGCAGTGTATCGTTGACGATTGTAATAGCAGATCTGATCACAATAGTGCTGAAATTTCATTCTTTAGGTAAGTAATAACATAAAAATATTATATGCCATTTCGACGGCTTCGCGCAGCATTCTCCATCTCACATGCATTTATTTCCAGTGTTGGCTACATGTTTTTTAGTGCAACGTTATTAACTGATGTAAATATACAGGCTCATATTATCAACCGGCTATTTACAATTAGTTTCTTTGTCA